GTCTTCAACGTCTGACCAAGCTCTAAGAGCTCTACAGGGCCAGCCACCTTCATGGCCGTTGGAATAAATTGTTTTCATCTGCCCATTCCTCCAGAAGAAGTCTTCGTGTGCTTGGGGTAGACACCTCCCCTAACTCACCAAAGGATTGGAGGTGCATTGGTTACCCTCAACCTGGTTTAGCCGGTCTGCCAAGATGGTTTACCAGGGTATGGCCAATGGACATGCTACAGTTTCTTGGAGCCACAGTTAAGAGTTGGGTGAAAGGTAGACACTAAAGGTGGATGAGCAGCCCTGAAAAAGGCTCTGCAAGCTCTCATATCAGAGGTGCTGGTCCTCCTTGAGCTCTCTCTCTAAACACACACACACACACTCTCTCTCTCACTTAACCCTATTTGCCTGTTTCTCATCTGTAAAATGACCTGGAAAAGAAAATGGCAAACTACTCTAGTATCTGCCAAGAAAACCCCCAAAGGGGTCACAAAGAGTCAGACGTGACTGAAAACAACTAAACAACAACAAATGGAGCTTATTTTCCTCATCTATAAAACAGGAGTAAAGGCTGCCACAATTCTTACGGTACTTTGTTTAGCTACCTCCTTCACTCTTATCACATACTACCCCATATCACATTCATTGGTATGAATCTTATCCTGCCCTCCCCCACCCCACCCTATTAGCTGGGAAGCTTCTTGTGGGCAAGGACCATGCTGTTTTTCATCTCTGCATTCTTACCACCGAGCACAGGGCCTTCCTTGAACGTAGTAAATTCTCCAACCGGCCTGTGACCTCACAGATGTGGGTTTTTTCCTCCAACAATGCAGATCGCAACCCATCCATGTTGGCTGCTCTGGTCCATGTCTTCCCAGAAGGACACAGAGAGCTCATCCGATGCACTGGGACCTCCTTCACTGTCTCACAAAGATAGGCAGTAGTGGAGCCCCCAGGATGTCCGTCAGTCAGCTAGCCCTCCGTTTGCTTTTTCAAACGTGCATGTCTTTGATGACCATACTGGACTCCAGTTCTTCTCTGCAGTCCCTTATGTGCAATGGTCTCTTCATGGGAAAAGGAAAGGAAAACTGGGGGACACAGCCTGCTCACATCCATTCTGCCTCTCCATCACCTCTGATACTCATTTTTAGTTTCTGAAGAATAGCGTTCCATTACTCACAACCATATAGAGATGGCAGGATATTAGTATCTGAAAGATGAGCCTTTGTTTAGGTGAAAAGTTTAGGATCTTTGAGGAACTTTACATTTCCCAAAGGCAAACCTGAATATAATAAGTATACAATAAATTAATTTAGTGGAACAATGCCTTGGGTTCTCTCCAGATTCAACAACTCCCGCATTTAAACAGATCTAAGTATTCTAGGGTCTAATATTCCATGTTTTTACATTCCTTTCAGCTCTAACATTCTGTGTTCTCAGATCCCCTCCAATTCTAGTATGCTATGATCTGTCATTTACTCTAGTCCCTATGGCTCAATCCCTTTTCTCAGTTTCAGCACAAGTAGATGTTCTGCAAATATTTATTTACTTGAGCTAGCAGTCAGATGGGGTTAGAGCCTGGATAATTTAGGCCTGCCTCTTCCCACGGCCTTTCTCAGGACCACAGAATGAAGGCATCCTTGCCAGGAGTAGGGCCATGGATTATAATAGGATGAGGGCAGCTAGGTGGCATAGTTGAAAGAGTGGTGGGCCTGGAGTCAGGAAGACTCATCTTCCTAAATTCAAATCTGGCCTCAAACACATACTAGCTTTGTGACCCTGGGCAAGTCACTTAACCATGTTTACCTCAGTTTTCTCATCTGTTAAATGAGCTGGAGAAGGAAATGGCAAGCCACTCCAGTATCTTTGCCAAGAAAACCCAAATAGGGTCATGAAGAGTTATACATGACTGAACATGAGGAAGGTTGGGAGAGGGGGTGGGGCTACTGGAATCCTCTCCAGGATGTATTTTAGGTTTTTTTTGGTTAGGCAATTGGGGTTAAGTGACTTGCCCAGGGTCACACAGCTAGTGGCAAGTGTTTGGTCCGAGGTCGGATTTGAACTCAGATCCTCCTGAATCCAGTGATGGTGCTCTATCCACTGTGCCACCTAGCTGCCCCCTAAGCTATTGGAAAGCTTCTTATCACTTTTTCCCGCTCTAGTGCAATGTTCTTATAGTCACTTTACTTTGCTTGAATCCTGTTGTCAATTAAAAGAGTCAATCCTTTAAGTCTTGTGAAGTTGTTAAGTTGAAAGGAGATTTCCTAAAGGTGGGATGAAGGCCCTAGAGCAGTTATTTCTTTTTTTAGTAATATTGGAGCAATCTACATTGGAGTCCTAGATTTAATCCAGGGTAAGTGCCTAGGTGCCACAAGCTGTATGAGCTACTCTGGGTAGCGGAAGGCATGGGAGGGTTGGGTGGAATGGGGTGGGGGGGTGGTTGGATGAGATTGTATAGGCTGAGCACCCCCTCGTGAGCAGTGGATTACTGCAGCCTTTGAGAAAGCCAGCCAACCGTGGCCACTAAATATCTTTAGAGAGAGCTACTTGTTTGGTGACCGAATGGTAGCACCACCTAGTGGCTGATATATGTATTACATTCCCTCGAAGGTCCAGTGAAAGCCTGCCTTTCTTTGCAGGTGCTGAGAGCAAGGTCAAGGAGCCAGGTGTGGGCTGTTATTGTTCTTAAATCACCACCATGTGAGCACGGCCCACAGCAGATTAAAATGTAATTGGGAAGTGTTTAACAAAAATAAATAAAAATGCAATAAAACACAGATGAAAACTAAGCGAACATGTGGTCTGCAGGGATTCTTATGTCTGGATTGGCAGCCCCCCATTTCTGGGTTTGACACCCTGATTCCAGCCCACATCAGCTAGTACGTATGGAAAACTAAAATAATCTTTTGCCCTCTACCTGCCCATCCTCCTGACTCACCATCACTCTCCCCATCCTCAGGCTTGAAATTTCAGTCATCTTTGGCTGTTTTCTCTCTCACTCCAAGCTGACAGGGTTCAACAATTCTGCTTTCCCACAGTATTCCCCTACCTGACCCCTAGTCTCTGCTCACACCACCAGCACCCTTGCTCAGGCCCTCATCACTGTTCACCTATAATATCCTCCTACCCTGTCTCCTTGCTTCAGTTTTCCCCCCTCCAGGCAACCATAGTCCCTAAAATAATCTTCCTGACGCACATTCCTGCTTGTGTCCCTCCTGTGTTACACAAACACACACACATCCCAAAAAACCAAAAACTGTAGACAATTTAGTGGCTCTGTTTTCTGGCTAAACTGACCTGCTCGTTTCAATTTGCTTTTGTCCCGTCTTTTCTTAGGGCATTTATGAAGGGCTTTCCTTTTGCCTGAAATATCTTTCCTTGATATGTGTATGTGTGTGCCTCTCTTCTCTCTCTCTCCTTGCCAGCTTATATCTTTCTCTTCTTCCACATTTCAGCTCAGGTACCACGTTCTCTATGAAACATTCCTTGTTCTCTCTGGTTGAAAGTATTTTCTCTTTACTCAGGATTGTTTTTCCCCCAGTTCTTTTTCTAGATCTCTCCTTTGCCCCTATCACACATTAGTTAATCAGTAAATAAGCATTTTTTATGTGCCTACTGGGTGCCAGGCTCTGTGCTAAGCACGGGGACATAAATACAGAACAAAGACAATCTCTGCTCTCAAGGAACTTACAACCTAATGGGGGAAGACAATACACAAAAGAAAGCAGAAGAGGGGGCGGGGGTAGGAAAGGAGAAGAGGAAGTGGGGGGCGGAGAGGGAGCAGGATGGAGAAGTCCAAAAGCAGTGTAGCTGCTACTTCACTCTGTATTGTAACCCATCTATGTACCTGTCATATTCCCCCAATTGAATGTAAGCTCCTTGAGGGAAAGAACTGTGCCCTTTGTTCATCTTTGCATTTCCAGTGCCAAGTGTAGGGTCTTGTACGTTGTAGACACTTCATATGTTTGTGATACTGAATTAGATTCCAAGAATCCCTTCCTAAGTCTAACACTGTGTGCTAGGTTTGCTTCCTGCCTCAGTGCCTTTGCACAGGTCTAGAACCTGCACCTTCCCCTCTGGCCCTCAGAATGCCCAGCAGCAGTCAAGGCTCAGCTCACGTGACTCCCATGGGAAAGCCTTCCCAGATCCCTCCAGCAGACAGTGACCATGTATTTCTGTTTACCTACTGTAGAAAGGCATAATGGATAGAGAGAGCTGGCCTCAAAGCCAGGAGGACCTGGGTTCGAGTCACCACTCTGACATATACTATGTGACTCTGTGTGCATCCACCAAAATTCTCAGGGCTCTAGGCAAATTTCTGAGAAGATATGTTGCAGAGAAGATGCCCCCTTGCATTGGTAGAGAATTTTCTCACCTGAGAGTTTCCTACAAGAATGAAAAGTCAGTCCATTTCCTATCCCTGAATATTGTTTCTCCCTAGTAGAAAGTAAATTCCCTGAGGGCAGGGGTTATTATTATTTAAACTTTTCTTTTAAATTCCAGAGACGGGCACAGTTCCCCACAAATGGAATCATAGTGGCAAGGCTACTTTCCTGATAGGTTAAGTGATCTGCTCAAGATTACAGGGGTTCACTGCAGAACAGGGAATCAAAGTAGACTTTGACTTCAAATCCAATGCTCTCCGCCGCAGTCTGGAATCATTAAATGCTTGATGACCCCAGCAAAAAAGTGTTGAATTGAATAGAGCTGTACAGAGGTCCCCTCTAGCTCTGACATTCAGCGTTCTAAGGCTTCTTCCAGCACGACCGTTTAACTAAGGTCTACTCCTCAGGCAGCTGGGGCGTCCAGGGGACGGAGCGTCAGGAAAATCCAGGTTCAAATCCAGCCTCTAACATTTACTAGCTGTGTGACTGGGCAAGTCACTTCACCTCTGCTTGCCTCAGTTTCCTCCTCTGTAAAGGGAGGATAACAACGGCACCACCCCCCTCTCCGAGCAGCCTCGCCCGCTCCGGTCCCTAGGAATCTGGCCCCCTTCTGGGGGGCGGGGGCACCTCTAGAAACACCAGTTTAATCGACTCGAGTGGCCGTGGGTTCTGGGGGAACTTCGGCTCCTGTGCCCCCCCCCCAGGAGGAGTTCTTCGGGACCTGGATTCTAAGCGGGAAAAGACCTGGGGATACGGGGCAGACGAGGAGGGAGGGGAAAGGCGGAAGGTACGGACCCCTTCGGGTGTTATGGGGGGCTGTTGGGGGGGCACGACGAGTATACAGGTTTGGGGCTGGAGGGGTGCTTTGAGACTCATTTGACAGATGAGGAAACTGAGGCACAGAGCGGTGCAGTGACTTGCCCCAGGGGGTCGCCCATCTAGCCAGTGCCTGAGTGGGATTTGAACCCTGGTCCTCCGGCCTCCCGCTTCCAGACCACTCCACGCTGCCTTCCACGAGGGCCATTTCGGAGGGAGAGGGAGTGAGAGTAGATTGGGGGTGGGGGCGGCTGAGGACAGATCGTTACTCTGAAAACCAAGGGGCAGACCGGACGTTTCCCGGGAGACCTCAGGCCCAGGGACGTGAGCTCTACTCTCACCTCCTGGGGAAGCGACTCGGCCATGGCCACTAGTCTTCCCAGCCCGGCCTCCGCCCGCCGCGCACGGGCTGCTGGGTGTCGTAGTCCAGTCGAAGCTCCGGGCGGAGACGTTGGGAGGAAGTGCAATGGCGTACTTCCGTCACCCGTCTGCTGACGTCATCGCTCTCCGACCCTTCCCCCTCCCCCTTCCCCCACCCGGTGCGCTCTCCCTGCTGAGCTGGTGCTGCCCGGCACCCATTGCCGCCGTTCTTTCTCCTCTCTGTCCCGGAGTTGGTGGCTCGGTGACACCATGGCGGTAAGGATGAGACGAGGTACGGGGGGAGGGCGAGGACCGAAGTGCCAGGAAGCTTATCAAAAGGAATGCCAGTGGAGGAAGTGGTCTGAGTCGCAAAAGGAGACCAGGACCTACCAAAAGGCACGGGGCAGGGGTGATGGAATGTGCCAAGGTGGGGGCCCAAGGGCAGCGAGGGGCTCGTGGAACTTGCCAAAGTGGAGGCTCAGAGGGAGCGAGGGGCATAGTGGAATGTACCAAGTGGGGGCCCAAGGGGAATGAGGG